CGCCACCACGCGCGCGGCGCGCGGCCCGGGCCGCCGTAGGGGTCTTGCTGCCAGCCGCACAGGTGCACCGCCGCGCGGCCGCGCCGCGCGGCGCCCGCGCCCGCGCCCGCGCCCGTTCTGCTGCTGTCGAACTTGCGGGCGCGACTGCCGTGGAAGCCTCCGCTCAGGGCAACATGCAAGGCCCCCGCGCGCCCCGCCGCGGCCGAGATTGCGGCCGCGGCGCCCGGCGGCAGGCACGGCGTCAGGTCGCCGCCGCCGTTGGCGGCGCTGGCGGCGGCGCCGGCGGCGGGGGCGGGGATGATCAACGCGAGGATTTGGTGGGGCGGGAGCGCGGAGACGGCGGCGGTCGGGCGGGCGCCGGCGATGTGGCAGCCGGCGGCGGCGAGGCCGTCGCGCGTCCAGGCCTGCGCGGGACGCGTGGGTGGTCGCCGCGGCCGCGGCGCGGGTGCGAGGCGTTGGGAGATTCTGCGCGCCCGCCGGACCGCGCCGGACCAAGGCGCGGTCGTGGCCGCGCAGGCGTGCGGGCTCACCCCCGGGCGCCCCCGACGCCCGCACGCCAGGCGCAACCAGAGCTGCGTTTTCGCCGTGCCAGCGGTGCGCCCCGGCCCGCGTCGAGCGCACCTCGGTCGCCCCAGTGCGCCACGTCCCCGAGAGCCGCGGCATCTCCTCCTCGCGCCACGGCACCACCAACAAAACATCGCAGCCGCCCACAACCCCCTCTGACAACTCGCGCCGCCGCAGCGGCGGGGGCAGGTCGGCGCGCCCGGGGTCTAGGGGCCGCGGCTCGGCGCGCGCGGGCCAGCCGCACTTGGTTAGGGGCCTGAGGGGCCGGCGCGCGCCGGCCGCCGCTTCGCTGGCGCGCGGCGGCTCGCCACCCGCGGCGGCGGCCGCGGCTGCACCCTGACACGCCTCCGCAGACTCCTCAAATTCCAACTCTGATTCACCATCAAGACTGTCATCGCCACCCTCCGTCTCGTCCCCAGAATCCAATAAGTCACCCGGGATGTTCATATCCGCCCACACCGCCTGCGTCCCAAGCACCCAGCGCGCCGCCGCACTGCCCGCGTCGAGGCGCATCATCAAACCAGGCGCCAGCACCTCGCAGCCCGGGTCGCCCTGCGGGGGCCACAGCGCGGTGTTCAAGGGCCCGTGGCGTGCACGGCTGGGCGCGCCGGGTCTGAACCCAATGCGTTGCTGAAGCAGGGACGGCCGCAGCATGACCACAGCACGCGTAGCACGCGCCCCGCCGGGGAGGGCTGGGCGCGCCGCGCGCGAGCCGCGGCCGCGCATACTGGGTGAAAATTTTCCAAGCTCACGTCTAGTTGCCTCAGGAGGAAGGGGACATGCTCAGGAGGGGGCAGGGCGCCGCCGCTGGTGGGGGTGCTGCTCGCTCCCTGGTCCAGGTCATGCCGCTCCTGAGGGGCGGCAGCCGCATGCATCAATCGTCTTCGAGTTGTATGGACTTCCTCATCATGTAATCTTTCTCCCAATTGCTTCGCGAACGCCGTGCGCGATCTGCGCGCCATGCCCGCGTGGCGTCCACCACAACTAAATTACATCTTCTTAAGCTGTAATATATACGCGTACCGTACAGTTGTCGCCGACCTCTCCCTTGGACGCCATGCCAATCACCGTCATGGTGTAGTGACACTGGGGCGGGACGTGCTGCGTGTGCTGACCTGAAGTCCTGGCTCCCAGCAAGCCACAATGGGCAATGCCTGCCAACATGGTAGCCATGCCGCTCCTCTCTTGCAAGGCTGGCTGCTCCACTTGCTCTCAGGCGCATGCCACCGCATGCATGCATGCTGAGCCCCTCAGGCGCGCGGCGCCCCCCTGCACGCGTGCCTGCGCGCAGCCGTCGCGAGAACAGTCCCCTGGTTACAAACTCTGCATGACGTACCACTGGTTGTTCAGCGACACGCCCGCTGTGACGGCAGGCGCGTGCTGATGGCCACCTGCACCTGCGGCAAAACGCACACAGACAGCTGCACACTTGGTTGCGCGGCGCGCCCAAGGGCGCGGCCAGGAAAAGCCGTCTGCGAGAGGGCGTAAAAACAAACCAACAGTATGGTGCAATCACGCATCCGATGGTGGATTTGCGGCGCCATTTCGGCGCCGTGCTTTTGGGTTGGGTCGCCAGCGCGGTGGTCGGGTGACACGAGGGCGGGGCCAGAAAATCATGACAAACAATACGGGTCTTGCACATCATATGAAATTGATGGGGCTGCAACACGTTGATAAGCTGCCCCTGCCTCCCGAGAACGTCGCTCAGTTTCAAAATCGTTCAAATTCGGCCAAGATCGCCCCAGATCACGCCGCCGCGGGCAGCAGCAGGTCCAGCAGCGTCGGCGCCCGCCGCAGCGCCGGCGCCGCCGCCAGCGCCCAGCCCTGCGCCGCGGCGCCCCACGGGTGGAACGGAAGGACCGCCATCAGAAGCGGATGCCCGACCGCGATCCAGGTCGCAGCTGCCAGCGCGACCGGGGCACGCGCGGGCGCGGCGCCGAGCGCGAGCTGCGCGCCGCACCACGCCAGCCACAGCGCGAGCCACGGCACCCAGGCCGCGCCGAGGCCGTGGGCGAGGTGGGCGCCCGCGAGGGAGCCGAGGAGGGCCTTCGATACCGTCAGATCCAGCAGCCAGAGGGCGGCGGTGCCGGGGCGCAGCAGGGATCCAAAGAGGGAGGCCTTCAAGAGGTACCAGAGGGCGATGAGCCCCAGTGAATACATGCCTGCGCGCGGTCAGTGGCGTGGTCAAATTTGCGGGTTATGTTGAGAGGGGGGTCACAAGAAGATGAGTAGGAGTGTTTCCTGAAAGGTTGTTGGATTCATTCTGCTAGGAGATTGTCGGGAGGTTCCTACAAGGAGGTATCTGAGAGGTCACTGTCAGAGGGCGAACAAGCCGAGGAATCCATGCGTGTGTGTGGTCAAAGGCGGTCAAAGGCGGTGTGAGCGTTGGCGGGGTGGGCAGGTCACTGGGCAGTCGTCGAGAGGGTGTTTCGGGACTACTAGAAGTGTCGTCGCATGTTGGGCTGTGGTCCCAACAGTGGTGGTTTGCGGGGAGATGGGCACCGGCGGCAGCAGGGCGGGTTGCCCGGGTGAACCCTACTGGGACGGGGAGGGGCGGCAGGCTGGACGCCCGGGCCCGCGGCCTCCGCTTGGCTGGCGCAGCCTGGAGCGTAACCAGCCCCGCCTGCACCCCAGAAAATTAGATCGAATTACATAAGATAATCAGATTAGAGCAGAGCAGATCACTGTCTGATCCCAGATCAGGGCCTCACCCATGTTCTCGACGAAGCACAAGCAGTACTGGTAAGCCGACGCCACGCCCCGCGCCGACGCCGCCGCCCCCGCCGGCAGCACCCCGGGCGCCGCCCACCACCGCCGCGGCGCCGCCGCCGCCGCTCTGGCGAGCCGCCCGCCGCCGCCGCAGGCGGCGTGCACCTCCCACACGCGGCCGTACCGCAGGGCGCACCATGCCGCGGCGACCAGCATGACGGACAGCCCCGTCTTTGCCGCGGCCGCAGATACCTGCCGCTGCTTATCCAGTTTCGCCTCCCGCCGCGCCGCCTCCTGCGCGCCCGCCCACGCGCCCAGCGTCGCCTGCATGGATGCAACCGCCGCGCTGACGTGGCGGGCGTGGGCGAGGAGCTCGGCGGCGGTCGCGCTGAGCTGGCAGAGCGCGAGGGACGCCTGGTGGAGGGCCCTGCATGGAAAATCGGCGGGCAGACGGGGAGACGGATGGTCAGGCCAGATCCATCTGGCGACCGCATGCGACCTCTGGACCTGGTCAACCCACGAACCCCTTGCACTCGAACCCTGCACCCTGGTTGCACCCTGCACCCTAGACAGCAGACCCTCAATCACCCTGAACCATCCCCAAACCCTGAACCTAAACCCTGTGGCCCTGTAACCCTCAATCACCTGGCGGCCGGCTGCAGCAACTGGTACATCGCCTGGGGGTCTGCATGCACCTGCGCCGACAGCTGCAGCCGGAACGGCGACGCTGCCGGCGACGACGCTGCCGGGTGCGACGAGCCCGGTCCGCCACCTGACGTCGCTGCGTCCGCGGTGCCGCCCCACAGCGCGCGTGCGGCGGGGCCCGCGTCGTCCTCGCTTTCATAGACCACCGCGCTCGGGCCGCGCGGCGCCCTTGGCGCTCCGCTGCCGCCGCCGCCGCCGCCGCCGCCGCCAGCGTCCCGATCGGGCGTCCTGCCAGCGTGCTGCGGCGAGGGGCCGCCGCTGGTCGTCATTTTGAAGCTGACATAAGAGCGCGACCCCGCCGGCGACACAGCGCCGCCATCCGCGCCGGCCGACAAAGGGATCGGGGGCGAACCCCGGCCCGACCTCGGCCCCCGCTCGCTTTGCCGCCCCCCCTCCGAAAAAGGCCGCCAGGCCTCCGCCGCGCTGGGGCCGGGGGAGGCCTCGGCGGCCGCGGGCGCCGCCGCCGCCGGCGCTGCCGCGTCCTCCTCGGCGCCGCGGTCGGCGGGCCCCGCGTGTCCTGCCCGCAGGGGGGTTTTTGGGCCGGGGTCGGCCGCGGGTAAGCCATAGCTTGGCGCGCTGCCGGCGGCGGCAGGCTCAGGCGGGGCCGCAGCAGGGGCGACAGTCGGACGCCCGTCCGACAGCGACGCCCCAGCCACGCCGCCTGCGCCGCCGTCAGGCCCCGTTTGTGAGAAATCGGCTGCCGCGGCCGCCGCCGACGAGGCAGATAGATCGCACCAGCCGTCGCGGCCGCGGCCGTCACCGGCGTCGCTGCCGCTGCAGCTGCCGCCGCCCCCTGGCGCGGCTGGTGCGCGGCTTGGCGCCTGCCCGGTGGTGTGGGACAGTTGAGATGGCTTGCTGTCGCCGTGAACTTCAGCCCATCCCTCCTGCTGGCCTTGCGGCTGCCGAACCTCTTGCTGCCCCCCTTGCTGCTGCTCCTTCTGTTGCTGTTGCTGTTGCTGCTCCTGCTGCTCCTGCTGCTCCTGCTGCTCCTGCTGCTCCTGCTCGTGCTGCTGCTGCTCCTCCTGCACCTGCTGCTGCTGCTCCTCCTGCACCTGCGGCTGCTGCTGCTCTTGCTGCTCCTCCGGCAGCTGCTGCTGCCATTCCAACCCTGCGGCTGCCCTTTGCAGCTGCTGCCCGTCCCCAGCCTCGACTAACCGCTGCTCGGCTGCTCCCCTCCCGCATGCTACCGCAGTGTCCGCACGCCCCACCCCCGCCTCGCCCTCGCCACCACGGCGCTGCGCGTGTGCGGCTCCTCCAAGCCAGCAGAGCAGCCAGCCGCAAACGAAGGCCAGCGTGTGGGTGACGAACCAGGCGTGCTTCGGCGCGGCGGGCGGGCCGGAGCCCCCGCCGCCTAGCGCAGCTGCGTCGCGGCTGCTGCTGCTGCTCGCGCTGCTGCTGAGGCTGCTCTCCGCCTCATCGACCCCATCGTCGCCGCCCCTGCCGCCGTCGTGCACTTGCTCCTGCCCCAAGGCCGGCTGGCCAGCGGCGCCGCATTCGAATGGGGGCGCCTGGAGCGGTCCCTCGGCCGCCTCCGGCGCCGCCGCGACGGCGCCGGCGATGGCCAGGGCGGCCGCGCCCCCTGCGGGTAGGCCGCTATCCAATGCGCACTCGTCCTCGCTGGCGTTCCAGGGCTCCCAAACGATGACGGGGCGGTTGTTGGCGATTTTCAAGAGCCCCGCCGCCGCCTGCTGCGCGGCGACCTGCGCGGCGCCCGCCGCCGCGCCCCCGCCGCGGCGCAGCAGCTCGCCTGCGCGGCGCGCCGCGGCGGCCCCCTGGTTCTGCGCCAGGCCGTGGGCGCGCGCGGCGGCGGCGCCGGCGGCGAGGTGCGCCGCTTGCGTAGCGCGCTCCGCAGCTTGCTGTGCGGCCAGGCGGGCGCCCTCCCAGGTCCTAGGCAGCGCCGCATCAACCCCTGGGGAGACCAGAAGAAGTATCAGGAGCGCCCAGAGGGTGCATGCAAGCGCCACGCGCGCCATGCTGCTGATTTCGCGGGAGATGATCCGCGATCTAATGGAACGGGACCATTTTATGAGGCGATTGGGTCAAGATTACAGGACGAAAGCTTGAAGCGAAATGGAGCCGGGTTCCATGCGGGATGAGGTGTCTCACAAGGGACATGGTGTTGACACAGCAGTGCCAGGTGAGTTTTTCATGAGTGAGACGTCACACACATAGGTGATTGGTGACAACGCAAGGGTCCGAAGTGCAAGGCCAAATTGATCGTGCACGGCTGTATCATCAGAGATTACTGATGTCACAGCTTGCGGCGTGGTTGGTGTCACCGGCATGGGCAGCAGGTGACAACGCAGCGACCTCATGAGATCTCCCCAGACGCGGCGTGCCAGGGCGGCGCGGCATGGTTCTGCTGGCGGCGCGGAAAGGGTTTTGCAACGCGCACCTTGCTGCAAGGTGCTGCTATACACACTCAACTCATCTGTGCGCCAGCACACCACAGCCCATGAGCCCACAATCCAACCACCGACCCCCGCCCGATTCCAAATCTCGAACAGAAGCTTGGCGACCTACCCTCGCCCTGAGCCCGCCTCTGCGTGTATGAGTTTCACAATTGATAGCAACGGCATCGCACGGCATCTTCTGTGCCCGCCGACGGCCGCAGCCGCCGCCGCTATTTGAAACCAGAGCGCCGACCGCCCTGCCCTTGTTGAAAACAAAGCTGAGTGGCATTGCACTCGTCCAAGCCTCAACAAGCTGGAATAGTACGGAAGTTATAAGCAGAGCGCGGCGGAGCCCGGGGGGAGGGGCGCCCACGCACCACCCCTGAAGTCGCGTGGCGCGTGCACACGGCTGCGTGCCGCAAAGATTCGGCGCGCGGAGCCGGTGGCGCACCTGCGCAAAGGGGGCGGAGCCGACCGAGACTTTTCCGGCGGATTGTTTGTGGTTTTGACTGCGTGGGGCAGGGGAGAGCACGAGGTGGTGCTCTGCATCCTTGCTGTGGGCCGCTGGGGCGCTCCAAGGGCCGACACCCAGGGTTGCTAGCGTCCACGGGCAGCACAACCGATGGCGGCCGCCAGGAAGGGCGTGTGCCGCGAGTGTGTATGTTCGTTGTACGTTCTGTTCGCTTGCCCGCGAACCCTCCTCGACTTTGGTGGGCACGATCTGTTAGGGGGTGTTTGTACTGCATGGCTCGAACAGGAAGCAACAAGAGTGTGTTGGGCAAGGGGGGTGATTTGAGCAAGCGGGGCGCGTTCAGCAAGCGGGTGGGTGCGTTCAGCAAGCATGGCGCGTGCGGGCAAAGGGCGCCTGAGAGCCCTGATGTGTGGCAGTTGACGCCGGACGCGGGACAACGCAAACTTCTCGTTCTTTCCAAAGCAGGGCTACCAACGAAGTTTGGCAGCGTCCGCCCGTGGGCGAGATGCAACATGTATTCAGGCGGGACGAGGGTCGGCATGCACGACAGGTGGCGAACATGCGTGAGAGGCCCATGGTGCGGCCCCCGCGCCCCCCATTGCGTCCCGGCGGATTGACGGGCGAGGAAGGGGCCCGGATCGCCCCTAGGGAAAGAGGCCCATTTCCCAGGGGTGCCGTTGATGGCGGCGTATGAGGGGTGTATGGGCTGGAGATGGCTGAGCAATGCGGGTCGCTGTACGTCCCCTATTAGCGGCCGCGGGGCCCTGAAGCGACGGAGCCCGCCGGTCCAGCGGCCAGGCGGCAGCTGCAGCCCAACGGCAAACAAAAGGGCGCGGGGCACGCACGCGCGGCCCACGCTAGCATGTGTGCCAATGCCTCGGGCAAGCGGGGGGCTGCCGGCCAGACGGATGCTGCGGAGCCCGCAAGCTGGACGTGCAGGCAGGCGGCGCGGTGCCGCCGCTGCACTGGCAACAAGCAACACCAAACTCCCCCGTGCCCCACCCGGCGTGGGGTCGCAAACTCAGAGACGCATGCGGGCAGTGCTGCGTTTTTTATGGCTCATTGGTGTATGTGGTGTGCGGGCCCCCCTCATACAACAGAGTTCGAGATCAGGCAACAGGTTTGCTTTGTTTGGCAGAAGTGTTTGTCGGGCAGACCGAGTCCCTGACAAACAGCGGGAGTGATTCGTCAAGCGTTTGCGTGGCGTGCGTGTGTACACGACCATACTAGTACAATCTCAGGCGGAGCACCGCGCGACAAGCCTACTGTACGTCAACACGCGGTGCGACGCACGTGCTCTTCTCTGACTCAACATGCCCAACCTGGTAGGTCCAGGTGGCGCGCCGAGCGGCGCCCCTCGGACAACTCTGGAATTGGAAGACAGGTGGATCTCCGGACAACTAGCCCCCAAAACCCTGACGGACAAGACCCCACCATCCTGGCATGCCCTCCTCGCCCAGCTGGGCAGCCGCGGCCGCGGCCCCTCCTGTCCGAGGAAGCTGCCGTACGATTCCCAACAAACAGCGTCCACCGGCGGCGCCAGCTCAGCAGGGCGAGATGTGCTCCCTCATCCTGTCCACGAAATCTTCGTCCTGGAAGTCGTGGAAGTCGAGCGGGCGGGCCGCGAGATCGAGATCCCTCGCGTTGGCCATGGCCCACAGCTCGGCTGGGGGGAGGGCGAGCTCGAGGATGTCCATGGTATCCAGCGCCCCGCGGCCGGGGGCGGATGAGATGTCCTGAGGGGTGGGGTGATTGTGAAATCAGGGGGAAACGGGGCGCGGACGGGCGGGTGACCAAGGGCGGCAGCGGGTGTTGGAGGATGCGTCCGTGTGTGTGCGCTGCGTGCGTGCTCGGGTGCAGGGTGGCGCAAGCACGACACACTGCGCGCGTGCTGTGGATGTTGCGTGAGCGATACAAGCCGTCAAGCATCAATGCTATCCTTGTGAGCATGCACAGTCCCATTTGTACGTTGTGGTCAGGCGGTTGCGTTTCAGGCAGGTGTGTGCTGACGTGGCGCCCCGCACCCTGTTGAGGCGCTCCACCATGTCGCGGACCGCGGCCGCGGAGGCCGGCGTGATCTTGCCGCGCGCCTCCTCTAGGAAGCTGCGGGGGCGGTTGGAGGTTGGCGGTTGGCGGTTGGCGGTTGGCCGTTGGCCGTTGGCGGTTTGCGGTTGGAGGGCGAGCGGACCGCGCTTCCCATAGTGGGCGCGGGGGGCAGTCGAGGGTCAAGAGTGTGCTGCCGAGCACGCACAATGGCGGCGCGGTGGCCGCAATGTGCAACCTGTCTTGGCTTGCGTGCGGGCCGCCATCTGTTCTTGCGCGTGCAGCAACTTGGGCGCAAATTGTTGTGATGCAACCTATCTTCTCTCCTAATCAGACGCAGACACGACAGGTTTGCTGAGCAGGCCTGACCTATCGACGCGCGCGGGGGTCCAGAAAGAGCGCGCCGCGTTGAGCAGCTGCGCGGCGCCGGGCGACGGCGCGCGGCCAAAGTGCGACAGGGCGTCCTCCAGCGCGGCCGGCAGCGCGTGGGGGGCGCTGTCGGGGTCGTAGCTCTGCAAAGTTTGTTTCCGTTTCGAAAATAGGGCGGATATCAAGCGAGAGAGCACACAGGCATCTGGATTAGTGTCGGTCGGCCTGAGCTTGAGAAGCCGGCTCAGGGGCGGGG